ATGATAGCTACTGCCTTTTAAAAATGTATTTCTCAAATAATGGGCCTCGAAAGTTGAAATGACTCCTTGGTCCATGGGCTACAGAATGGTTATTGTGTTAGCATGTATGAAACATTAATCTTTTGGTATATCTCCATTAGAGCTCTTTGGTGACCAAGTGCATTGTCAGTGAGCAGTAGCATTTTGAAAGAAATCTTTTTTTCTGACAGTGGGCTTGAGATATTCAGTAAACCATGCTGTCAAGAGTTATGCTCTTATCTAGGCTTTGTATCATTGATAGAGCACAGAAAGAGTAGGTTTAGCATAATTCTTAAGAACCCCAGGATTTTCAGAATGGTAAATGAGCATTGGCCCCTAACAAGAAGGTTAGCCTGTATTTGAAAGCTTTGAAGTCAGGGGACGGACTCTCCTCTATAGCTGTGAAAGACCTAGATTGCGTCTTCTTATGATGAAAGAGCATTTCATCAGTATTGAAATTGTTTAACCTTCATCAGTTATCTTAGCAAGATTTACAGCTTTTATAGCAGCATGTTCTGTTTCACTTTGTACTTTTATGTTATGGAGACAACGTCTTTTCCCCCTTTTTTTTTTTTAATAAGGTTTTTGCCATAGGACAAGTGCGCTCACCAGAGAGAGAGAGGAAAAGTGAGAAATCACTCCCCATAGGGGATGGTCATGGTCATGCCACAGTACCTTCTCCGCTGCCCTGGGATTTTGGACACATGTACATGCACCCAGTGTGATTTTTCAAGCCACCAGGTCTGAGACTTGAACTGCAGGTGGCCATGTGGGAGTCCAGTGCCTTAATCACCATACTACCTGGTGGCCCCAACAACTTTTCTTAAAAACCTCCTGAATCAACCTGTTACCTTCAAACTTCTGAAACTTCCTAATCTCCCAGTTTTCATAGAATTGGTGAGTTAGGTCCTTGCTCCCGAATTAGGCTTTGGCTAAGGGAATGTGTGGCTGGTTTGATTTTTCTATCCAGACTATCAAAACTTTCTTCATATTAAGAGTAAGGCTGGGCATGGGGAACCGGCAGTTAGCATAATGGCTATGTCGCTGGACTCCCATGTAGTCGACCGTGGTCCGCGTCCCGGACCTGGTGGCTTAAAACTCACGCCAGGCGCGTGTGTGTGCGTGCCGAAGATCCCAAGAGGAGAATGGAGAAGGGATTGCGGCGTGACCATCCCCCCTGGGGGGTGATTTCTCGCTTTCTGTCTCTCTGTCTCTCTCTGTCTGTCTGGCGAGCGCATGCGCCCTATAACGAAAACCTCTCCAAAAAAAAAAAAAAAAAAAGAATAAGGCTGGGCACTAGCAGGTACCATGGTGGTTAAGGTGCTGGACTTCCACATGGCTGACCACAGTTCGAATACTGGACCTGGCAACCTGAAAATCATCCGGGCACAAGTGTGTGTGTGTGTGTGTGTGTGTGTGTGTGTGTGTCCAAGAATCCGAGCAGGAAAAGGGAGGAGAAGGGATTGTGGAGTGACCCATTATCCCCACCCCCCAAGGGGTGATTTCTCACTTCTGTCTCATACTCTCTCTCTCTGGTAAGTGCACAGCACCCAATGGCAAAAACATTAAAAATAAAAAGAATAAAGCTGTTTCGTCTTAACAAATCCATGTGTTCACTGGAGTAGCACTTTTATTTTTCTTCAAGAGGTTTTCCTTTAAATTCACAGTTTAGCAGGCTGCCACAAGAGACTTTGTTTTTGACCTATCTTAGCGTTCCATATTCCTTCTTCACTAAGCCTAATCATTTCTAGCTTTTGATTTAAAGTGAGAAATGTGCAGCTCGTACTTTTACTTGAACACGTAGAGGCCTATGTAGGGTTATCACTTTGCTTAATTTAAACATCATTGTGTCTCAAGGAATAGGGCAGCCTGAGGAGAGATAAAGTGATGGGGGAAATGACCAGTTGGTGGAGCAGACAGAACACAATTTTTATTAAATCCTCCATTTTATGGTTCATGGTGCCCTAAAACAGTTACTGTAGTAACATCAAAGATCACTGATCACAGATCTCTATAACAGATACAATAACATTAATAATAATGAAAAACTGAAATACTCAAGAATTACCCAAATGTAACACAGAAACAAAGTGGACACATTCTGTTGAAAACAGTAGCACTAATGGACTTGCTCAACATGGGTTGCCACAGACCTTCAATTTGTAAAATTTGTAGTATCTGCAAGGCACAATAAAGCAAAGTGCAATAAAATAGATATGCCCATCAATAATCCCCCTCAACCCGTGGTGACTTATTCTACGTTCTGTCTCTATGGAACTTACACATTCTAGGTACCTCATGTAAGAGGAATCACGAAATATTTGTTTTTCTGTGTGTCTGGCTTCTTTCACTCAGTATAATGTTTTGGGGTTTATCCATGTTATAACATACATCCGAATTTCATTCCTTTAAGGTTGAGTAATCATTTTGTGTGTGTGCATACACATATATACACATACCATGTTTTGTTTATCAGTTCATCTGTTGAGACATTGGGGTTGTTTCCACCTTTCAGCTTATTCTAAATAATGCTACTATGAAATTAGTGTACAGGTATCTTTTAGAGTACATATTTTCAGTGATTTTGGGTATATACCTAGAAATGAAATTGCTGGATCATATAGTAATTCTATGTTTAACTTTTGGAAGAACCGCCAGACATTTGTTTGGAATGGCTGCACTATTTTACATTCCCACCAACACTGCACAGAAATTACAATTTTTCCACGTCCTAGCCAATATTTGTTATTTTCCATTTAAAAAATAACAGCCATTTTAAAGGGCAAGATGTTTTGATTGCATTTCTGTAATGGAAATACGCTGTTGAGCATCTTTTTATGTGGGACTTTTTAAAGTAATTAAATTTTATTTATTATTTTAATTTGCTATAGGGTGTGTGTATGTGTGTGTGAGAGAGAGACAGAGAGAGAGAGAGAGTGTGCACGCGAGCGAGTGCGCATGCAAGCCTTCAGGTCCAGGACTCAAACCATGGTAGATTGTGTGGGAGTCTAGCCCCTTAACCACCACACCACCTGCTGGCTCCGTTTTGTTTTTGTTTTTGTTTTTTAAAGCAAGATTTTTGCTATAGGGCACATGTGCTCACCAGAGAAACAGAAAGACAGAAAGTAGCAGATCACTCCTAAGGAGGAATGGCCTCACCACCATCACTTCTCCTCCCCTTTTCTTGGGATTTTGGACACACACGCATGCACATGCACTCAGAATGAGTTTCAAGCTGCCAGCTCCTGGACTTGATCTGTCAAACCATGTGGGATCCCAGCACCTTAACCACTATGCCACCTGCTGCCCCTGTGGGGCTGTTTTAATTATGTACTTTTTTGGGCCACATTGGCTGTGGAAAATTTTTGCAAGCCTTGGTATTTATGGGCTTATGATGAGGAATTCCCTGGATTAGGGTATGCTGGTATAATAAAACACATTTTAAAACACATTTGATAGATTTTAAACAACAGAAATTTATTTCTCACAGTTCTGGAGAGTGGGAAGTCAAATCAAGTGGTCGTATGTGGTGTCTGGTAAAGGCTCTATTTCTAATTGATTGCAGCTCCTGGCTTGTCCTCACATGGTACAAAGGGGAAAAAATTTCCCTTGGGCCTCTTTTATAAAGTCACTAATTTCAGTCCTTAGGACTCAGTCCTCAGGATCTAATTACCTTGCAAAGGACCCATATCATTATTTATTTTTAAAATAATTATTTATTTTTCATTATCATTATTTTAATTTCTATAGGGTACATGCACTCACTAGAGTGAGACTGGTGGGGGAGGGGTGGTGAGTTGAGAAAGCATGCCCCTAGGTCCAGGATTCAAACTGTAGTCAGTTGTGTGGGAGTTAAATGCCTCAACTGACCCTGGCCCCACATCTTACCATTACCATGGAGACTGAAATTTCAACATGGAAATTTTGAAGGGGAATGAGACCATAGTGCTAACCATGGATTGGATAGCTTTAATTGTCTTTAGTTTGACACAAAAACCCAAAGTCAAGGATAAGACATCACAGTTATCCCCATTGTCTTTTTCTTTAGTGAGTTTTTGTTTTATTTTCTTGGTTTTTTTTTTTTTTTTTTTTCCCCTTCTTCCCCCCATTGGAGTGTATTGCCCTTTAGGTCTTCTGGTTTTCGGTCTGACCTTTCATCTTCTTGGTGCCCCAAACTTAATCTTTGTGAAGCCCATGATCTAAAACATCAGGTTTTTGTCATGACTCGAAGACAAATGCCAGATTTAAAACTTCATTTATTTCTGTAAAATCCCATTTTCTGTGTGTTTATGGCTTCAGGGAGTTTTGGCCATGCACTTACAGAAAACCTCTAAATGTATAACGAGCATGTATGGTGATCTGATCTAGAGTCTTTTTCTGGTCATCAAGTTAGCATATTTTTGTCAACATTAAAAAAAAAAAAAAACCCAAAACCCTCATTTTGTTTTTCTTCTGTTAAACAGCAGAGATTGAATTTCAGGGTGGTGGTCTGGATATAGTTCTCATGGATAAGACAATTAAACTATAGCTATGAGTTTCTAGAATTCAGTGGTCAAAGATTAGAATTTAGGATTGATTTTTATATTTCTTATACATTTCCTCCCCCATTTTTATTATGTCTTAGTTAATAGGAGCGTTGTTTTGTAGCAGACACATGTATGAAGGAACTTCAGAAAATTTATAGAAAATACTTATTACCAAAAAACTGCAAAGATTATAAATTTTCACAGCAAAATAAACTCATAACTTTTATTTTTATGAACTTTTTGAAGTTCCCTTATATAGAGATGACTACAAATTAGCAAAAACAGTTTGTAATGTATTCTTTTTCTCTTTGGATGAAATATGATTTTACAAAAAATAGTCAAAGGGCAAGTAAATTGAAAACAAATTTAAAATCATCAAAGATCTTGGGAGATGTTCATGTTTTTTTATTCAATAGCTCTATTATGGATACTTATCTCAGTTTGTTTTTATTTCAGCTTTGGCTAGATCAGAGTCTAAAAGAGATGGAGGTTTTAAAAATAATTGGAGCTTTGATCATGAAGAAGAAAGTGAAGGAGATACAGATAAAGAGTAAGGATTTTTACCCCCTCAGATTTTATAAGAATGAAATTGTTCTTTAGAAAAACAATTTATGTTCCGTAGAAATAGCTTTAACGTATGCTATTAAGAAAACATTAAACTCTCTTACAGTAACATTACTGACAACAAAAGCAATTTTTATCAGTACATAATTTGCTATTTCTCCATCTTTTCAAATACATAAATGTGTGCATGTAGTACATTTAACCTTATGATTAAAAATTGACCATAGAACAGAAGATTTCAAATGAAAGAAATTGTTCTTCTTTCTTTTCTTTTCTTTTCTTTCTTTCTTTCGTTCTTTCTTTCTTTCGTTCTTTCTTTCTTTCGTTCTTTCTTTCTTTCGTTCTTTCTTTCTTTCGTTCTTTCTTTCTTTCGTTCTTTCTTTCTTTCGTTCTTTCTTTCTTTCGTTCTTTCTTTCTTTCGTTCTTTCTTTCTTTCGTTCTTTCTTTCTTTCGTTCTTTCTTTCTTTCGTTCTTTCTTTCTTTCGTTCTTTCTTTCTTTCGTTCTTTCTTTCTTTCGTTCTTTCTTTCTTTCGTTCTTTCTTTCTTTCGTTCTTTCTTTCTTTCGTTCTTTCTTTCTTTCGTTCTTTCTTTCTTTCGTTCTTTCTTTCTTTCGTTCTTTCTTTCTTTCGTTCTTTCTTTCTTTCGTTCTTTCTTTCTTTCGTTCTTTCTTTCTTTCGTTCTTTCTTTCTTTCGTTCTTTCTTTCTTTCGTTCTTTCTTTCTTTCGTTCTTTCTTTCTTTCGTTCTTTCTTTCTTTCGTTCTTTCTTTCTTTCGTTCTTTCTTTCTTTCGTTCTTTCTTTCTTTCGTTCTTTCTTTCTTTCGTTCTTTCTTTCTTTCGTTCTTTCTTTCTTTCGTTCTTTCTTTCTTTCGTTCTTTCTTTCTTTCGTTCTTTCTTTCTTTCGTTCTTTCTTTCTTTCGTTCTTTCTTTCTTTCGTTCTTTCTTTCTTTCTTTTCTTTCCTTCCTTCCTTCCTTCCTTCCACCAAAAGGCATTCTGTTCAGGTAGCAAATTAAAAAGCCATCATTCATGCTTAGTAAGTGGGTCCAGATTAAGAACCTTGAATTTTGTATGTTAAAGGCCTGTAATGTCTTTATTTCCCAATTCTGACTCCTACCACATCCCTCTTAAATTAGAATCCCACCAGAAAAGGCACAACCACAAGAAATGATAAACACAGATGTTTACCCAGACAAAAGCAAAGCAAAATGTTCATTACACCTTGTTAATGTATTAGGAATGATTGCTTTGTAAAAATTTTAAATAATAGCTTCAGTACAACTTTTTGGATGTCATGAAATCCGTATTACAGATTCAGTATTGTTTTTAGTTTCTTGATTTATTGATCTGGTTTTTCACTGGTCAAAACAAGCAACAAATTCAGAGATACAAATATGCATACAAAGCTCTCCCCAAACTATAACTATGTTTTAGAAATTTGTATATTAAGAAGTCATTTAGAATGTATCATCTAAATATTTTAAGTACTTCTGTGTGGGCAACAACTCTGTTTGTCATTGCCACTGTATTTGCCTTCACCAATGAAATGCTGACCTGAGTGAAGTTTATTTTTTTTGGAGAGCTTTGATTTGTTGAGTTTCTCATTTCATATCAGTATTTGGGTATTCTTTTTTTTTCTAATTATTTTTAGTTACAGACATTTAGTGCGTGTAGTAGATATTAGGTTGTTGGAAAAGTCTTGCATATTTTTCTGTGTAAATGCAATGTGACTTTCCCAACAACCCATCTCTATAGTTTTTTTTTTTTTTTTGGAGAGATTTTTAGCTATAGGGTGCGTGCACTCGCCAGAAAGACAGAGACAGAAAGCGAGATATCACTGCCCCTCCCCCCCCCAGGGCAGGTTGCCACACCGCAATCCCTTCTCCTCCATTCTCCTCTCGGAATCTTGGGCACGCACGCACATGGGCCAGTGTGAGAAGCTACCGGGTCCAGGACTCGAACCACGGTCAACTACATGGGAGTCCAGCGACAAAGCCATTACACTAACTGCTGGTCCACCCCCCCCCCCCGAAGCACTTTTTTTTTTTTTGTG